GTTGACGCCCGGACGCACGGACGCACGGACGATCATGCGATTCTACAAGCTGCATCTGACTATGTCAAATGAGCTAAAAAGATAGATTCTTTATCTAGGCTATATTATAATAATATCGCCAGATATAGGAGGCATACAACAGTAACCCGACCAGGCTGTGTGACTAACGTCGCGCGTACGTCACTACGCTATTCTAACAGTAACACTAGTATTATAGTATAGCAATACCGTTTCTTGGAGCTAACAACTGTGGCCAGTGCTGTGGCTAACAACAGTAAACCTCCGCAAAAGCGCCATAATTACTAGACTGGTGCTCGCTCCCACCTCTCGGCTTAGTTACTCGCTGGGGGTTACACCCATCGAGTAAACCTCTGCCAGAACTAAGCCGAGAGGTGGGAGCGAGTACCAGTCTACCGGCTATCAAGAGGTGTACCGCCATCTGGCGTTAGGTGCGTACTCCAGCTCAACTGTAAATCAAACCAGAGCATATAAATCGCAGGTGAATTCTTATAAGCTCTGATCAAACTGTATGGAGATGGAACAGAACCATATAATATCTACTTGAATATTTTGTTAACAATAACTTTTCAGACGAATTCAAGAAAAATTACCAACCTTAGCTAGGAAATAAATATAATTATTATATAATAATATTATAATTAAAGTCATGTAAAAATAATAAAAAGACGCAAGACAGTATAGTTCTATTTATTTTATTGTTTTATATTCAATACAGGTTTAGCCCCCAGTAATACCATAGGTATATACAGACAATCTATGGTAATACTAATAAAGAGGTACAAAATACACACACGCACGTACGCACGCACGCACGCACGCGCGCGCGCATGTACATGATACACATATACGCACGCACACAGAAAATGGGTTAGATCGAAATGCATAGAGCAATTAAGTAATTCGTAACATATAAGTAAAAGTTAATAAGTATATAAGTAATAAGTAAGTTTATAAGCTAATAAGTAAACCACGAAATGCATGTGTGGATGGATGGATGGATGGATGAATGGATGGATTTTTTTTATTTTTTTATTTTATTTATTTATTTCGATAATTAACAAAGCATACATTACATCGATAACAGCATAAATAAACAATTAAAATGCAGCTAGAAAATTATCGAGGATGAAAACACAAAAAGCGTGGCTAACACACTTATTTCCATTGCGGTCCAACATAACATTGTACATACTATAAACTATAGCAAATATACTCACGATCCCCAACATTTCTGAGTGATACAGTGATACACTACAAAACATTGATATACAGCATAAAGAAAAAATATATACAAAAAAACTTCAGCATATTGTGTACAAGTAAAGTGAAAAAAAGAAAAAAAGAGAAAAAAGAGAAGCTTTCTGAGTGATACAAATTACAATACAAAACAGTGCTATATACCATGAAGTAAAAATATAAACGAGAAAAAAACTTCAGCATATATTCTGTACAAGTAAAGTGATTACGGTAAATGTTTAGCAGGTAGAAATTAATGATGTTTCTTGAGTGAATACAGTACAAAGCAGTGCAGAACAACATGAAGAAAAACTAAATACACACAAAAAAACTTCATCAAATTGTGTACAAGTAGTACCCTTTTAGCACATCATTTTGACACTCGGTTCGTACAGTGCATATACAACATGAAGAAAAACTAAATACACACAAAAAAACTTCATCAAATTGTGTACAAGTAGTACCCTTTTAGCACATCATTTTGACACTCGGTTCGTACAGTGCATATACAACATGAAGAAAAACTAAATACACACACACGCACGCACGCACGCACGCGCGCGCGCGCGCGCGCGC